ATAATATTGAAATATTATATGAGATATTTCAGTTGCACAAATAGATTAAAGGGAAAATTGCAAATGATCGTTCTACAACTTTTTCTTTTTAGTTGGCAATTACTTGAATAATGAAGATTTGTCTTTTATTTCTTGTAAAATTATGTGAGTTGATTTCTAATTTCAATAAAATAATGTATGTCACATCAATTGACTGAAAGTATTGAATCCTATGATAAATGAGGTTTGGCTTAAACTCTGTCTCAACTTAGAAGTTCTTTGGTTTGAACTCCTGAAATCGATTTTGAAAAGAAAATTCACCATACATTATCTCATCATAGAGTTATGATTCATGAAAGTAAGTACATTATAAAAGTTTAGGCTTTTATGCTGATATACTCCCTTTTCTAGCCTATCAGAAATAGGATTTTCTTAGAATTTTTTCCTTGTCTGAATGTAATCTAAATAAAAAAAAACGTTGTGATAATGTTTTAGGAAGTTATTAATAGCTTTTGATGCAAACTTAGATTTGATTTTAATTCTTAAAACCTTGTGATACTAATAACAATGTGTGTGAACAGATAAAAGGACTTGAAACATATCTTAAATAAGAAAACCTTAGTTTGTGAGAAAGATTTTGGTTCTAAAATTCAATCAACTAGATGCTAGAATAACAAAGTGGAAATAAACTATGCTAAAAAATTTGTTAGTGCACACGCACGCGCGCGCACGCGCACGCGCAGACTCCTATTGATTTGAACAGAGTTGGAAAAGAGAGATACAGTAGAAACAGAGTGCAAGATTGAGAATAGAGAGAGAGAAAGACAGAATACAGATAGAAGAAGAAATGGGAAGATGAAGGCAGAGTAGTGGAGGGGGAAGGAGGCAAATGAAGAGGGGAGTGAGAAAGAGAGAGCTTTCAAATTCTAATATTCATTCCTCATTCAAAAGTGTCCAAGTACAAGTGATAACTTAGTTTATTTATAGACTAAGCTTTCCTTTCCCTTAAGGAAGCTCAACAACTTGCAAATTAAAATATATAAAGAGTAAAAGCAAAAGTAAGTCAAATTTCCTTCCTTAGAAGTAAACTTATAAAATACTAAATAATGTAAAAAAATAATTATTTCTTTCTAGAATAATATCTGCCATATTTTCTATCACTTTTCAAATGCTATTAATTTTATTACTATTATTTAACTTGTGAATGTGAACTAATATAGAATAAGCAGATTGCTTAAGCATGAGATGTGATATATTGTGCCATAAGGTGTGATATATTGTACTGGCTAGTGGAGCATCCCAATAATGTCATGAGTAAACACCCACTTGCACTTCTAGGAACAGGCAAATGAGAAGAAAAATTATAGAATTGTGGAATTAGGTTCTTCTAGTTGGATTATGTACATATTTTAAGATGTTTTTTTTATAATTTGGAATTAGTTTTTGTTTGTAATTGAAATTATATATATATTTGAATGAAACGGAAGTGAAATCTATGAGTCTCAACATTTCCAGTATTGACAAGACAATAGCCACTATGCACAATACCATTTTCACATATGCTCAATAGAAAGTTCATATATTTTTAATATTTCACTAGCATAGGCTCAACAAAATGACTAGGCAGGAGGACCATGCATGATACAACATCCCCTATGTACATGACGATGTTTGCATATGCTCAATAGAAGGTCCATACATTTCGAGTATTTCACTAGCCAAGGCTCAATAAAAATGACGAGTTAGGCAGACCATGCACAACACAACATCTATTATGCACAAGACAATATCCACATATGCTCAACAAAAAAATTTATGCATTTCAAGTATTTCACTAGCCCAGGCCTTCACAAAAATGACAAGTTAGGCAAACCATACACGACAAAACATTCACTACACACAAGATGATGTCCACACTTACTCAATAAAAAATCCATGCATTTTCAGTATTTCACTAGCCTAGGCTCTAACACAATAACACTAGGAAGACCATGCACGACATAACATCCACTATATACAAGAAGATGTCCATGCATACTCAACTAGAGCCGATAATTTGAGTTGAGCTCGATGAACTAGCCTGAACCTGCCTGAAAAAAGTTAGGGCCGAGCTTAAAAAATTATGATATTTTTATGTTCGGGCCTATTCGGGCTAGAATAGGCCCGATAAAATTTGAGCTAAGCCTGATTGGGTTCGGGCTTGGCCTGAAGATCCGAATAATTTTTTTATTCTTATAAAATATATAAAAAATGATAAATATTAATTAATTATTTAATTTTTATGTTATTTTATATTAAAATACCATATATTTGAGTCTTATACATCATTTGAGTATCAAAAAAATATATTTGTAAATAAAATAATTATTTTAAAGTAAAATTTTTAATTAAAAAAGATTTTAAAAATATAATTTAGGTATTCAGGCTGGGCTTAGCTATTCGGGCTTTTTGAAAAGTCGGGCCTGTTCAAGTTCGGGCCTATTCGAGTCGGGCTTATTCGGGCTGAGCCTGAATAGGCTTGGCCCGCCTAAATTCCCAGCTTTATACTCAACAGAAAGTCTATGCATTTTTGAGTATTTCACTAGCCAAGGCTCAATAGAAATGATAAGTTAGGTAGACCATACACGACACAATATCCACTATGCACAAGACGATGTCCACACATGCTCAATAAAAAAATTATGCATTATCAATATTAAGAAGGGCAATTATATCATATATGAAGAATTTTATGTTAGTACTAGCAAGGTGCTAAAACAAATACTCACATGAAATTTGACATAATATTTCAAGTCAGATATATACAAAAAGCTGGCCACTATATCCAAAACAGTTGCTTCTATATATACAAATAAAAAATATTACTTAGGAATGCTTCCATATACATAATTATAATTGCCTACGTACATTAAAGAAGCACAATGTGATTACTTCTCATGTTGGGTTAGGATGCTTACACGTCTTGCGACTGTGTTCGGCCTCCCCACATATTGAACAATGATAAATCTTTTTATCATAGAATTGAGACTTTATCCTTCTTGTTCATGGCTTCTCAGGAGGACGGCTGGTTAAAGGCGGTTGTAAGAAAGCTTATGATATATTCGCACTTAAAAGTCCATGTGATTTTAATTTATCATTATGCTAAGCTTAACAAAATGCTGAAGTTAGGCAAATAATGCACAACATAATATCCACTATGCACAATACAAGGTACTTTATCAGTAGGCTAGACTTAACAAAATACACAAGTAGGCAAAAAATGTATAACATAATATCCACTATGCATAACATAAGGTTTATATATTCTTAGCTAGAAGTCCAAATGACTCTAGTTTATCAATAGGCTAGAGTTAACAAAATACTCAAGTTTGACAAATAATGTATAACACAAAATTCACTATACACAACATAAGGTTTATATATTCTCAATTAAAAGTCTATGCAATTTAAGTTTATCAATAGACTAGGTTTAAGAAAATGCTCAATTTAGGCAAATAATGTATAACACAATATCCACTATACACAACACAAGGTTTATATATTCTCAATTGAAAGTCACATTGTTTTGAACTATCACAGGTTTTGCATTTCAAGTTCAAAACAAGGAGTACATTAGAATTTCATGACTAAGTGTTAAATAGTCCTATTTTTTCATGACAAATACACAAAACCTACAACAATATTTTGTTTAGCTAAATTGTCGCAGTAGGCATGAAAAAAATGATATGGATAACAAACAAGGCCTACAAGATTTTTAAATAAGAGCATCTAAAATATCTTAGGCTAGGCTTAATATAATGCATAACTCAATGTTCAAGAAAAACAACTTAGTTTATTTTTGCACAACGAATACTCCAACATTTTTGATAGAATATTTTTTTCATATTAGATCATATTTTATTTAGTTCACATGTAAAAGTTCAATATAACAAATCAACATCATTATTATACAACAACTAATTTACTATAAAACTTTCATAACCAAAATGATTCGGCAACCTTGACCTCATATTAACAGCAGAATCATAAATAAAATTTCAATTTCAACAGTATCACATTTTAGTTTGTACAACAAAAAGTTTATCTCATATGCACCATACTGCCTCATGTAAAACCCCCATTAAATATTTCCATTAAATGAACTACTATATATTAAATGAGTGAAGATCACCTCTGTTGCCACTTCACCAGCAATTGACGTGCAACAATGACAAACCTTAAATTATTTTTACCTTTAAATTATTTCTACAGTAAAAATGGATGCCTCTCATTTTTATAGTAAGAATAGTAAAACTTTCAACTCATTTCTACAGTAAGAACGTGAGAAGCTTGAAAACCTCTAGCTGAGATCTTAAAATCATTAGAAGCACTACTTAAGATGGAGGGATTTTAAAATCTATACACCTCGAAAGTTACTCCTCTCCAGAAACCTTCCTATCCTCCAGCTGAATACCTATTCCTGTGTTTGTCATCCTTTTTTTGCTTTCAATTTCATTTCTTTTTACTAAGGGTAAAATAGTATTTTTTGTGTGAAAAAAATATTGCAATTAGGACCCAAGGCCTGCAGAGAAAAATTAAATTTATTTAAACTCTAACTACAATAAAATTTGTTTTTAAGGCTCTCAATGCCATTCCTTGTATATATTGACATAAACATTATAATATCACCAATTCTCAAATTACGTGCATTTTTTTATGCTTTTATTGCCACGGTGCTTTAAAGGATAAATAAAGAAATTGTATAAGAATCCACATTCCTATATATATATATATATATATATATGCGCGCGTGCATATTCCTATTTTTCAATTTCATTTCCTCGCCTAATACGGTTGACCGTTTAAAGTTAAAACTTAAATGGTTTAACAATATTAAATTTTAATTTATTCTTTAAAAAGTAACAGATCAAAATTTTTTAAAAAAAAATGAAACATGATAATATTATATCCTAAACATTTTGATGTAACCATAAAAGTGTTCGTCTTTACCTTTGATTCATGCATAATTTTCGAGATATATATATATATATATATAACGGTTTCTTCAAATCAAAACCTAACTTTATTTTCATTCTTATAACATGGATACCATGATCCAAACAGGACGTCAAATGAAAGTAAGCTTGGAAAAGCTATGCACCACTTGAATATATTTCTAGGATCAAATGGAGCAGAAACAACCATCCCCATCCCTGTAATCTATAAAAATAGGGGGAATATATATATACACCAAGCGAGCAAACCTGGAACCATGCCGGGAAATGCACGGTACAGATGGGGGTGATCTATGGGTTAGCAGTTAAACAGGGTGCAACTAATGGGGGATGAGCTGCTCAATAAAATAACAACGGAGAAGCGCACGCATGAACCGGCATCTTCATGCCAGTTCTCTTACTCGGAACCAAAGTATGTTAGAATCAGGTCTCATCATCCACAGCACCAAGGTAAGTAAGGTCTGTCCGTCTCACCCTTATTGCCCCTCTAAGCCAGCTAGTGGCCCGAAGATTAACATGGTCACCACTTCCCATAATAGCAGTCTTGCTCGCAGAGGAGCTCGATCCGGCCCCGTCTTCTAAAAGCATCCACGGGTCAACTTCAGAATCATTGACCTGTTGTTTTGACTTCCCGGACATGGTAGCTGAGGTTCTTGACAATGGAACTGGGTTTCTTGTGTTTGAACTAGTAGAGTTAGACATGTGTTTTGCAGAACTGGGTTGGAGAGAAACAAGAGCAGAAACTGGAACCGATGGCGGCTGGCAGGAGAGAGAACAGCGCATAGGGGGAACAAGTACTGGCATTGCGGCTTGGATACGCCACCGTATAGAGTCTTGCAGTTGCATATGGTCTAGGTCATGCTGTATCAGACAATAGATGATTAGATGGGCAAGAAGACCAAATTGTATTTCCTATATTCATATGAAGAATGACAGAAGAATGTCTGCACGAGAAATTTATATTCCATCTTCGTAGTTACCATATTTTCCCTTAAGCACCATATACGCTCACTTTGAAATAACCAAATTAGCAAGAAAATTATATAATGTCGTCTTAGTAACTTCATCCCAAGGCAATATCAAAAATATAGCTTCAGTATTGCCAAGTGCCAGCTCGAAAGGTTATATAGTAAATAAAAGGCAAAAGAGCCATTGATTCATAGGATGAGTGATAAGACCTGCAGAGTCTCCAGCAAATCTTGATCAAATCCGGGAATATCCCCAGTAGGTTCGTTGGTCGTCTTTGAAAAAACTGGCGACCTAAGCCAACTTGGAAGACAGCTACTCAATAATCCATGCAAAACAAGTAACATATGATCAAAGAGGCCCTCGACAGAAATATCTACAAGACCAGCAGAAGCTTTGGAAGGTGATTCCACCATCCTCTTCAACTGAGAATTGTGCAGGGCATTAACCGATATAGCTGCATCCTCATACACAACCTGGCTACCAAGGAGACGAAGAATTACAGAGGCAAGTGCATGTCTCAGGTTCCGAACAGCTCGCTCCCTGCAAAATTCAACATGGAACTCAGAAAAACTGTTGTAGTAATTATAGTTTGCAAAAGTTCTGCCAAGTAAAGACTATGCTTGAAATTCTAATGTGGCATACTTAAAAAGGTAAGTAAATCCCTTTGATACAACACCGCACACCTAGCATTACAAGTGCCAGCAGTCAAAACTCAAAACACAAAATGTCTTAATGCATCAAGTATACATTAGTTATAAAGAAAATGAAAGAAAAACTATAATGCACTTATCTCCGCTGTGGGTGCATTTCAAGGAAACTCAAAAGCTATCTAAATTAAAGGGCAATAAATGAAGTAAATGTACAAGCACAACTTCACAAACCTTTTTCCCCAATAAGTAACTATTGACACGTGTTCCAAGACAATCATTGTTAATGTATCCAGAATAAATAAATCTGTCTCCAAAACAATTTTTCTGTTTTGTTAAAGCACAGAAAGACTAAATTCTGATCGCATATTACCCCTCTGTGAAAAGAATGGGAAGAAATCTCATGATTAAATGCAAACGTAATGACATAGAAGCTCGTAAAGCAACAGGAGCAGGTGGAGAAGAATCAGTTGCAGCTGTTTGTCGTCTACTCAATCCAGGGCTGCCCCCTCTTCTAGTTTTGCGACTACTTACTTTATTAGTCTGACCTTCAATTCCAGAAGGAGCATTTCCTACTTTCTTGCTCACCCCATGAGTGATAGCAGGTATTTGTTGCTCAATACTATTCAACTGTTTGATCAAATCACTTGCAAATAAATTGCGAGTTTCATCAGAGCTTTGATCTATGCAAGGAATAATTAACTCAACAAAAGCTTTCTCAGTCACATGCAGCTGGTTTGTGCTTGACCTTTCCAAGTCAATCACTTGAGAGAAACCTTTTAAGCAACCTTTCAGCTCCACCCCACCTTCAACAACTTCTCCTTCAAAAGATGCAGCATCAAACTCCTTCTCCTCCCTGTTGGCCACCAGTTCAGTACAAGGACTACACCAACCCCAGGGCTCCCAGTATTGGGCCTTAACAGAAAGGCCTTTACTCTCAGCAATATTATGTAACCGTTGCCTAATGGTCTTCCGACCAAAAAGAACACCATGGCCAGCCAGGAACCATTTGGCTTGCAGCAACATTGAATCCTCTAGTGACCTCCCAAAAAGATGAATCAACTCTGAAAAAAGGGATGCAGCATCAGGTCTGACCAGTAACCTAGTGAGAATTATTGCAATAAAATTGTTCTCGTTCTCAGAAGCAGAAGCAGACTTCTCTGGATTGGGTGAGGACAACTGTATAGCATCAGCTAAGGACATATCAGATGCCTCTAGTTTGTCAACAAGAGCTTGTTCATTTAAAAGTAGCCTAAGTTCAACCCATTGCCAGTGAAATTTAGCAGGTTGCAGGTTATCTAAAACATGTACTATCTTATCCTGAAGCTTAGATTCACCATATCCAGAAATCTTGCTTCCATCATCCTGAGGAAACATATATTGTGGCATTTTACAATCAACCATTGCATTCAGAAAAAGCCTTGCACGAAGAGGAACAAATGCCTTGGATGTGAAATGCATATCTGAGCCATTCAACTCTAGCAAAGTTGCAAATTCAGCATCACTTGTATCTGAAGCCATAAAATCATAGAGACTTTGACTATCTCTCAAGCATACATCTCGAAAAGTTAAATGTTTTATTGTATCATTTATGGCAACAGATAGAGACTGATGAAGTTGATTCATGTCTTCACGGGCTACAACATTAGAATTCAAAAAGAAGGGCCACCACAGAACAAGAGCAAATATGGAATAGGCAGGTGGAAAAACTAAACTAAGAGGAAGCATATGTTGCATCCTTGAAAGTGCTATAATAGATGGTTCGCCCAAGAGTTCCACCACTAACCCATCATAGATGGTTCTGCAGTTCCCAACAAGCAATCTAAACCAATGGGCATAAACTTCAATAGAACTATCTACCTTGAAACCCCCAAATGATCGTGCATTTCCATTTGAGTTAGATCTCATGCTTCTTACAAACTGTGCTACATCCAGACCCTCCTTCAACCGGAGGACGGTTACTATTCTTTCCAGGCTGGAAACACCATATGTAACAGCACCAACAACAAGTGCAGAAACAGAAGCCGCGATTTTTGTTGATCTCCCAAATACAACTTTGCTCGAGTTGTTTACATGATCACTAGAAATATTAATACCAGTATCATGGGCTTCAGGAGACATTTGAGATTGAGCACGGGATGCTTTGCTAGGAGCAAAAACTCCAGCAAGAACAGTAGAAGCTTCTGTTGCAAGAGCAATCTCAAATACACGGCTTTGACGTTCTCCCAGAGCTTCCTTAAGTAGGCACAGACAAGTTACATGCATTCGTAGAATGCATCTTGCATAGTTCAGTGAACTTGTAGACAATGTTGTGCTTGAATGATTATTTCCAACTGAAAAATCAGGTATTTTTGCTATAGTTGGCCCCACACTACCAACAATGACAGAAACAGCAGAAGAGACTAGAGAGGGATCCCCTTCTTGAGCAGCACCGCCAGTCTGCCTTATGCAGTCAATTAAACCCATCACTATTTGTTGAGCAATTTGATATCCATTATCCCATTTTTCTATAGCAGGTGCTTTTGGTGCACCAGCAACGGGCTTTCTCTCCTTTCCAACAAGATAATGCAATGCCTCTTCTACATTACGTTGCACTAAGTCTCTCATGCCCAACCCTACTCTGGATAACCGGCCAACAGTTATCTTTTGACGGAGAAACTCATCAAGATCCTCAACTCCCTTGGGAACTCCAAGGGGAAACCCTAACTCTCCATCCACTGACCTTCCAAAATCAAGCTCAGAAGAAAGTCTTTTATCACTTGTTGCCTTAAAACTTTTCTCCCACTCAATGACACTAGCCACATTGCTATATTTTTTCAAAAAATAACGAGCAAATGCTACTGCTGCTGAACCTGAAATCCTTCCATTGGATCCCATAATGGCAGCCGTACGATTCATTGCAGCTGACAGAGCTTCAGGAACAAGGTCAGCTGCAGCAAGAATGTTCTCATACCTGCACCAAATGCAATGCAAGAAGGCAAGGTTCAAAAAATTACTTCAAATCCCAGATATCCAAGAAAGGACAGTCAAATGTAGCAAAAAGTATAGATGCAAAGAATACTCATAAAGCCTCAATGAAAAGATAAAGCTTAATCCCATGAAGTGAAGAGAGCATGAAAAGTCATACAAAGTCATGGACACATCACCAATGGTTCAGTAAACCAGAATGAACTAACCTGCTCATTTTCAAATTTCCAATTTTTCCTTTGTACTTCACAAAGATAAACATTCATGTTTTGAATCGGTAGAAAAAGGATTGCATTTGTACAAATCTCATTAGCTGTGGAATGCTATGCAGAATTTTATGGTATAGCCCTGGTTTATAACTTAGATGGCAAAGTTGTGGAGAAAAAGAAGCACTGACACAAAACAGCTTGCAAGCTGCTTTTTGAAGGAAAAGAATTATCAAAGAATAAATAGTATATAGCATAAAGCATAGAAATCTGGCAATAATTTAAAAAAAAATGAAAATCAATCATTTGATTCCCATAGTTTTGACTCAATTGAGACTCAATCCTTAAATTTTGACTCAGTGTGACTTAGTTTTTATAGTTTTAACCAATTAAAAATTGGTCCCTAACATTTAGAAAATAACTTTTAGTCTTCATAGTTTTATTTTCTAAAAAGTGAAGATTCATATTTTAAATGGTTAACACTACAAAGATGAGTTACACCAAATCAAAGTTCAGGAATTGAGTTTTAATTAAGCCAAAATTATTGGGACTGGGTGTCACAAAGTCAAAGTTCAAGAATCAAGTATTAATTTAATCAAAATTAAGGACCAAATGATTAATTTTTCTCAAAAAATCAAGAAACAAGTTATTGAAAGAGAAACAAAAACCATGTTAATTGACAAAAAAATAAAAAACCATATAGAAGAACAAAGGAAAAACACAATCATCAGTCCCTTTAGTTTCATTGGGCTTTGCTCTTAGTCATTGTAGTGTTTTTTTCCAATATTTTCAATCCCTATAATTTCAACAAGATTGGATAACGTTTATTACTGTCCCTTAAAAAAAAAAACAGATGTAAATGTAAAATCCAATAAAACTATAAAGATAAATGATTGTGCTTTCCCAAGAACAAAAAATTAATGTGGCACCAATTACAAACATAACTATTTAATTGAATTGAGTGCAAACCTTCTCAGTGATGATAACAAAAAAGCCTCTCCCACATTACAAACTTGGCTGTCCACATTACTTGGCATCACTGGTACATTCCTCCCACTATGAATTGTAAAGCTGGGGCTATTGAGAACCTTTGGCACCAACCAGAGAAGGAACTTGACTGCTAACACTAAATCATCAGAGATGTCCATCAGGTATAGTATAGTAGAGAGTTCATCCTCCCCAAGTTTCCACCGTATTGAGCTTCTATCATCAGCGACAGCAAAAGGCCGACCAGACTGGCCAATTGGACCAGCATTCTTTTCAGTCCCCTGAACTAGCTGCCTAACTTCATTCATCAACCAAATTGCTATTGCCCTTTTCTCAACAAAGCGAAGCCGTTTAAGATCCTTTCCAATTGAGACAATATCCTCACAGGAAATTGTTTGGATTCCATCCACTGACTTTGGCATATCACCATCCATTGCAGTTTTATGGTGAGGGCAACTTACCTTACTATGACATACATGGCTTGTTGATGCCCCTGGCTACCTTCAATTCTGGCAGCTGCCAGTTGAGCAAGACTATGGGTTTTACGAACAGTCTTATGCCGACTCCTAGTAAGTTGCTTGGTTGACTTCACTGGTTCATCAACTTTGAGAGACTCCAAGGATTTCATCCCCTTCATCCACCAAGCATCTTCTTCATCAGATAAAACTATTGAATGACCCTGAATAGATGAGTTTCTTTCCTCACTTATTTTTTGTCTCTTTGCCCTTCTACATTCTTCACACCCAAGTGTACCTTCCACAGGATCAACCTTGCTGGAAGGAGACAAAATAGCTCTGACACTTCCTTGAGATTCATACAATCCTGCATCACTCAAATCTGATAAACTGTTAGGCAGCTGTAATAGTACTGCGATGGCTGCTTTCAGTTCTTCAACATCTTTGTCATCCTTCTCACTTTTAGATGCAACAGTGCCAGAAAGATTAATCTTCAAATGAGAATCAATTTTCAATGAAGAAGCCCCGTCCTTTGTGGAAGATGGATCATGTCTTTGCTTCAATGAAGATGAAGAGGCAGTAGCATCATTACTCTGATCACTAAACGAAACAGAAGTATAAGCCGACGTTCATTCAAGTAAATTTGCAAGGCTCCCACGAGCTGTATTCCTTCAACAATCCCTGATTCTTCCAAAGCATTTTGTAAGAACCTACCAGGAAGCTGCCTCAAAATTCTATAGTGTCTCTTCCGTCTTTCCAAGTCAACAAAACTTACATTCATATCCATGATCCCACTAACAATTAGCTGCCGCACATATGCCAAGGGGTTAAAAATTCCAGCTCGAATGAGTTCCACTACGAATAGGTTTAAGCGATTGAGAGCTTCCCCTTTATGTACTGCATGCTGATCAATCCAACAAACTATGATATCATGCAAAGGACCTGGGCTTTCAAATACAACTGAAGAATTGGAACTTGAGCCAACATTTTTTGAACTAGGTTTTACTTTTGATATACTACACATAAAATTTCCAGTAGTGTGAAGATTTGAAGATTTTTTTAGTTTACTAATTCTGTTAATGCTTCCATTCTTTTGTCTTGATGAAACATGCATATCCCTCATCTTCATCTTTAGAAGTCTAACTGCTATATGCACCTGAGAAAGATCTTTCCTGCCTGTGAATTTTATATTACATGGAGGAGCGGTTCGAAAATCCCTGAAATCACATGTTACCCACTCACAAAGGAAAAACACTGAATTCATAAATGAAGAACTTATGGTCCCCACCCAACTCAATGATAACCTTAAGCAAGGGCTAACTTTTGCAGCCCAACCTTCAAACACAGTTCCATCACATTGATCATCAAAAAGGAGTTTATAGGCTAGGCATACATCACCCAGCACAAGAGATTTGTCCAAAGATTGTACAGCTTTAGCCAGACAATGACCTGTATGGCCTGAGTTTGCAGCCTTTGCAAGATGATGTGCATCCTTTTGAATGCATGAAATCATATGATCAAATGCCAATGATTGATATTGTGAATCAAATCCTTTACTTTTTAATAGACAGGGAACATCTTCTAAACAAATTTTTATCTTTCCTTCAACTTCAGATGCTTTTAGTGCAAAACTTCCATCATTTACTGAATGTGAAACAACCGAATATGGCAAAGGAAAGCAATCCAAAGCAACAAATGTATCTGGTGCTGCAAATATCAAATATCGGAGCATCTCAATCAGAGTACAAGTTGTATAAGCCCTCCGGGAATTATCTACAAGGTCTGATCCACCTGGAGCAGGATCACAGATGATTCGAAGAGCCATTCCAGCAAGATTACGTACATATGTTTGAGAAAGAACAACAGTTTCTAAAAAGCCATATATGACAGGCAATAGCAGCTGTAAAATCTCGAGGGATGCTTTTTCCTGAAAGTAGCAAAAATGGAAAAATTCAGAATTGGAGGCATGAAAATAAGAAAGGTAAAAAAGTGCTCCCTTTTCTTTTCGTAATCACATAAAATCAGTAGTATGGAAAAGAAAGTATTCAGAATAGCTAAAAGGTAACATCATTACCTTTAGTTGATTCAAAACCCAATCAATGACAAGAGAAGGAAGAACCAGGCCTTCAGCATGATGCCATTGCAGAAGCCGCACAACATACCACCATTTAAAATATACAGATGGCTCTCCGTTATCAGAAACTGATGATACAGGATCACCCCTGTGCTGCAACGATCCTGCGTGATGCACTTGCAGCGAACAGTCACGACTAGACTGGGTAGGATTAGAAGCATTTTTGGAGACAAATTCATCCAGAAGAGATTGCAAGTAATCAACAACATCTTTGGTCCAATTCTCAGAACGAGACAGCTGAGCCTTGTCAGCAGCAATCCCTGAAGAAATACTGGCAGAACCAGGCCGGACCTGCAAAATTCAACCATAATCTACCTTCCTATATTATATATATATATATAAAAAGTAACTTACGACTAAGATTTTTTAAAAAAATTGCTAATGGTAATGCATCTCTACCTGATTCAGGTAAGTAACTTTGATAAACCAAGTTGCCCTTAACAATGGCACATTATTCTTGATAAGAACTTCTAAAAGTAGTCTCTTTCTAAAACCATGAGGAACATGATCAGCCAAAGTGCATAACCGTTTGTGCTGCTGAGATAAGCCCTGTAAAAAATTTTTCGTGAGCATAAGTAGTGCTAGTAGCTCTAAAGGCACTGTCCCAAGACAATATTTTTTTAAAAAAATAAAAAGTATCATTAAAAAATTTCCTCAAGGGTTTAAGAGTCAAATTAACGAAATCAACAATAAGGTAATAAATTTGTTGTCAGAAATGACACTTCTGAATTCATGAATGGCTGATTAATGGAGTGTATATGCACCATATAGCCTGTACAGAACTAATCCTCATATAATTTATTCTGGACCCAATATTTTTATGCTTCCCTAACTTGGATCAAGACTAGAGTCTAGAACCATCTACCCAGAAGTACAACTAACTATTGCCCTTGGCTCATACACCTGATCAAGAACTTAAAGAATGAAATACCAATGGGATATAATTTTTACAAAAGGAAGTGATACAACAAATGAAGTCATATGATTTTCAATAGCACACTTCAATCTATTTCTTTCTCACCAAATTTAAAAGAAATAAAGACCAATGGGGCACAATTGCTGTAAAGGGAAGTTAGACAAAGACGAAAGCCATGGGAACAGGACTTCCACCAAGAATACCTCGATCCATTTTTTTCGAAAGTCTTCACCAGCCGGCCTTTGTTCAGGGAAGATACCAGACCTGTTGAGTTGTGATCCTGAAAGAGCCACTCCATAGACTTGACCAGCCTGTCGATAGCAAGAACTATAATGCAGATCAAAACCTTCATAACAAACTCAGATAGAGTAAAGCTAGAGCCCACTAAATTCAACAAAGCATGAGAAAACAAGCATGTCCCCAACCCCAAGCACAAAAAATAACAGACTGGAAAAGAAAATATCACCTTCCTCTTCTGAACACGAGTTTCATTAATTGCCCTTAGGCGTTTCTTAACAGCCTGGAAAGAAGACAAAGGTGTTCAACAACACTAGAAGTCTATAACAGCTTCCATGAATGCATATATATACGCACGCACACACACACATATATATAGAGAGAGAGAGTGTGTAGCGATCCCATGGCATGGTCATAAGAAACAAAAACAAATGGAATGGACCTAAATCTGAAAAGGATAAAGAAGTCACCTCTTTACAATTTAAAACAACCGCCTTGTTAAAATTTGAAACCTGAGTCAATGAAACTTCTCTAGCTTCCTGGCAAGCGCATAACGAAATGTAAAATCAGAAAACTGTAAATACCACAGAAGAGAACATACATCTGATCTAAAAGAAAATAACAGTTGATCTTCAACAATTTATCAAGGGCAGTAAATTTTAAAATGTATAAATGTTTGTACACTGTTTCAAGCACCATGAACAGTAGGAAATCCAAAATTAAAAGGGAAAAGATCAGATGTAAGACTGATTTCACTATTGGCATCGTACAAACAGATAAAATCTTATGGTGAGTTTACAATACCACTTGTAACCCAAGTCATATGGGCATCCCTAGCCAGAATCAAGCATATAATCAAAGAACAAAATGTAAATCTGTAAAAGAATGCAAAGAATCCAAATCCTGAATCCTTCAGTCCGGCAGAGAAGCATAAAAGGGAGCAAGAGTTTCCAGCATTAAAGCAAGTTCATCAACAAATCTGTCATTAAGATTTCTAGAAAATGAAAATTCCAAGAAAGGTTGATATAACTAGAGTTAACCATTTATTGTAAGAAAGCAACATGTAATTGAATAATGCCAAACAAAATTGAAAGGCGTTAATGTCCAAAATTTTATCAATACCCCATTGTGTATGATTGTGTACTAAAAATTGGCCAAAGCCAGAATGCAGTCCAAACTTAACAGACTCGTGAATTTGAAAATAATAATCATTAACCATGCATAAAATCTGCATGCCTAACACATGGCACCACACCAAACTGCTTTTAGATCAAGAGTTACATAGCCAGTTAGCCACTCCCTACAATTTGAATTAAGGAGTGCAAGTAAAAGAAGGATTAATAGGAGAAACAATGAAATGAAGAGACAGCATCAGAACTTTGTAAGTATTGAGATTGTAGCAGAGTTGTTCGAGAATCACATCAGCATAAAAGGAGAAGGAGATGATCATGATCATGATGAGTTTAAGTGCTACGTTAGAATCTAACCAGTTTCTTGTGGAAAAAAGAAAGGTATTGAATAAAAGAAAAGGCAAGGAAAAAAGATACAAAAAACCAATATATTATATAAAAGTAAAATTATAAACACTATAGTTCATTAATTTATTGATGTCACTGTTGATTTGTTTAACTTTACAACTTATCTTTAGGACTTTGTGTTGTTTAAAAGAAAAATTTAGCAACCTCTGCAGTTTTTGTATAATCACTACATAGTTTTTGGGCGATCTCTGTGCACTCTATACAATCTATGTGAAAATCTATGGGACTGATGCTACTTTTAAAAAATGTATATATATAACAAAAAGCCATGATATGGTTTTAGCGTGTCTCAAATAAATTCAACCAACAAAATGTTCCAATGAATGAGACAGCTTAAGAGAATCTCCCTCAAATCTCAAATCTTAGTGACAAAATCAATAAATTGATAAGTAGAGCCCAATCAATCAAAAGTTAAATCACCACTTCACATTATCTGATCTTCTTTCTACAACTGATATGAAACAAAAAGATCTACCTCAAGGCCCTCAACTGTTTCCCTATATCCAGATTGCACATAGTCTCTCGTCAGAGTCTCCTCAGGGCAATTTGGTGTTTGGGGAAAAAAGTCTGGTGACCCAAGTCTGAGATTAAAATAGTGTCATTTAATATTTTAATATGCAGCAAAAAAGACAATATCAATTTATCAACTACCTAGTTTTAAAACCCCGTTGGCATATTGCCTTTGAGTGACAAAAACAAGAAGCATGCAAATCTAAGCCCAAAGGAGGCCTTAGATGACCATTATTCAGGACAAAAAAACAACGGAGTCAAAAGCATGTGCCAGTATCAATTGGAAATACCTAGTGTTTAGAGGCTCTTTCTCACACTTCAACTTGTATGGGTTGAGCTGAGGTTGTCGTCTGTAAATACAAAACAATTTTATCAAGAGGGATTGGCAGAATCAAATTACTGATTTAGCATAAAATTAGCAACTGGCAATTTAAGTTACAAAACAAAAAAATTAAGGTTTCAAAGAGAAGGTATATTTGTTTTGAAATCCAATTCTTACATACAATTTCGTTGGATTAGAATATAGATTTCCACCCTCCAATCTCTCCAATCTAGTTTTATATCTAAAGCTCAGACCTACCTTTCAATGGTTCACACTACTTAGAAACTAAAAGCTTATGGTATGTAAGCATGAATTCCAAATTCTTCTTCATGAGGAGTAAAACTAAAACAATGCTTAAAAAAGAAAAGGGCAAATCATGGCCTAAAACACAGAAATAAGGACGGAAAATCATGGTCTAAAGAGTAGACCTACTTACACTTTTCTCTAATCTTGACCATTGAGATATGAATTATATAATTTCTCCAAATATGGAAGTTCAAAAGATGCTTTATGTTTTTCCAATCCAGTAACAGATGAAAGGAAGAGATCTTTCAGTTATGAACCGAGTTGGACAGGTGTTCCCCATGATGACAAAGTTACTTCATGTTAACATATTGTACTCTACCGTGAAGCCAAATTCAAGACTTAATGATGATCCCAATCTGATTATAAAATGCACTATAATGGGAGGCATTAAATTTAAAACCTCAAATCCTGCAAAGGTACTTGAACAGCCTTTTTTAGTCATGCCAGAAGGATCAATATTTACCTTCTTCCATCTTCCTTAATCCTAAGTACAATAATCTCACGAAAAATAGAAGGCATCATTTAGCAGGATCAAGATGAAAAATAGGTTCCCAACTTGAGCCGTATAGAACAGATGTAGGAAGCATGGGTAAGTCAATATCATTACTAAATCTCACTATCCATATATTATCTAGAGTGCATCATGTCTAACGCAACTTAGACATGGACAAAGCTCTTGTTTTCAAGTGTCAATGCTACATAACGGAAGAAACAGGAGCTTCACAATTCTGCATTCACCAATTTCTCACAACTAATACAATGTACAATGACAACAGCACCCAGATGATGGGCCGTTGTTAGTGGCTAGGCTACCACACATAAGAAACACATATTCCCCTTCTGACCACCAAAGAACATTGAAAATTAATAGATTAATAGAAAAGAAAGCTAAACCATATTAAAGTATTAGTTCGCTATAGGCAAAGGAGATTCTCAAGAGCATATTGGCTAGTAGGAAGTTCTCTTACCTTGAACTTACGGAATAGTTAGAAAACAAGGAAGATGAATCAGCTCTTCCAGTGTCCCTGACAGATTGTCTGCCCAGAGCACTGCTGCTAACTGCACCAGTGGAGCTGCCAGTATGATACCTTTGCATTGCCCCCAACAATTATCAGCATACTGCCCACAACATCAAAGCAATACAGGTAGCTGTGATGGCTAAACTGCATCATTGAAATGTCCGCCAGGTCATTTCCAAGTAAAGCCAACCAAGCAAGCCAAACAAATCCTTATCACCAAAAAGACAGTAGACATGGACAGGAGATTAATAACTGGATTAAAGCCAATATCCTCCTTGGGCATCAAATTTATGCAACATTGGACTTAAACTGCTGAAGGATATGTATGCATGTACAGAAATTTAGTGGGACAAACACTATATATGCCAAACATGTGACTTCACTCAAGGTGACAGTTTCATTGTAAGACTTGCATGACATGAGCCATTATGAAAGCTGGGAAACGATCATCCAAAAGGCGCACCCCAGGCACTGCATGAGCCCCAATGCAAACTAAAATTTTAAAATAGTATATAAGTTTAGTTTGCATAAAATATTTTTATGGATTATGAAAGAAATCAAAATCCAAACCTCCACACTGCATTTGAAACCTAGCTGAGGATCTATAGCAAATTAAAAACATGAACAAGTTCACAATTTCAGGTTCATGAATTTCGGAAAAAATGCAACACTCAAGCAGGGAAGCAATTGGAAAATTTTAGAAATATCCTGAAAAGCAAATAAATAGCATACTAGTTTCACCAAGATGATAAAAAGTGTTGTGAATAAATAAATAATGAAACATTGGATTTTTGAGATAGAGTATAATTATAGAAAGTTGAAACCTTTAGCGATCAATACTATTATTTTTATTTTTCTACACAAGAGTCACAACGAAATAAAGGGGGAGAGCGTATCAAAAAAATAATAATAATAAAGGGGAGAGAAGGCAAGGAGCATTCCGTTTAAAAATATAAAGCATTTTTAATCAAATATCACTCCCCAATAAAATAATTATCTACTTTTAAATTAACTCTATTTTTTCATATTCAACCTAATTAAACATCCTAGTATCCTACAATAAATATAAAATCATTATCAATAGGGACACTTTTTAAAAAAAGAAAATAATTATACCTCAAAAAACTAAAAATGCCTTACATTTTTTTATATTCAATTTCTTAAAAATTGCCTCATATTTTTTTTAAGAGAGGGAGTAGGTTTTTTGAAGTTGATAAAAATTGCGCTAAAATACAAACTTCTCGCCGAGTAATAAAAACTGCTACATTTCTTTATCTTCTACAACTGCGACATTTTATAATTCCAACCCATATTTATTATTATTAAGAAACAATAGAAAGCTGCATAGACTAATGAAATTACTTTCGATCGATAAGCTTACGCTTAAAACCTTAAAAGGAAATACCCTCATATTGTACTTTTTGGTATTCGAACTTAGGTCGCCAAGTAGTTCATGGCATGCTACCGTTTAAACTCACTTCTTAAAGAAGCTACAACATATGTGAGATAAATTGGCAACAACCCACCCATTGAATCATCCAAAAATTTGAACTAAACGTTAAAACCAAATTATATTCTAAATAATTCTAAACATAGTTTTGCGCAACCGTTTAAGTCATTTCTAATGCTAAACAATTGCCAATACATGAAGTTCAGAGCACGATCCGAAGCTAGAGTTTTTCGATAAATTATGATTTTTCAACTTCAAAAAATGATCGCGCGAGCTGAATATGAAGCTGAAAATTGGGACCCCTGACGTGAACAAAGCTAAAGTTTTTCATTGGCAATTCCGCAAATAAGCAAGGACCATCGAAAAACAAAATAATGGGCATAAAAATTGAACATCAAATCGAAAATTGGTGCGTACTTGAGAAGAAAATTTTAAACTTCGAGAGAAAAAGTCCGCAAAGCGCTGTGTTATAGAGAGAATGTAAGAGAGATGCGAAGAAGAAAGAAGAAAGGTCTCAAGCTATGAGTGCTTTGACTCTTGATGTTTGCTGGTGATGACGCCGATGCCTCAGTTGCTTCCTGTGATGGAATAAAGGCCAAGGAAGAAGGGATCTTATTAAAAATATTCTTTCCTGCCAAATTATAAAATATTGTTAAAAAAAATTTTACTCATTGATAAAATTTATTAAATATATTTTATAATTTTATTTTTTAAAATAAAAATATAAATTTTTAAAAATACTCTTTAATTAATATTTTATTAATAAAAAATATTAAAAAAAATATATTAAAAAAGAAATGTTAAAAAAATATTATTAATAAAATTTTATTTTTATTAAAGTATTTTATATTTTAAAAAGTTAAATTTTTTTTAAAAATGTATTATAATTTAGAATGGAGGGAATATTAAATTTCACTTCATCCGATTCCTCTTCTGCCCTCACGACCCTGATATTGTTAAGCGTAAACTTTGGGGATAATTGGATTTTAGTGGGGCTAAGAATGTCAAAAAGGGTTATATAATCATTATTTCCAGTTTTTTAAAAATAAATGAAGATGGAGATGGAAATGTTAGGAAGAGCAGAACAAGAAGGAGAATGTTGTTGGAGTCCTGCGTGCTGATGACAGGCAGTATCGACATCTTTCTATTGAGACGAAAAGAAAATTGGAGGACTTGGAACTGAAAATACGAAAAAGACAAATTGGTGTGAGCCAGTTGTTTGCATAATGCTCAGGTCCCTTCCCTCCCCGGCTTGGCCCCTAGAAAAACTTGTCTTAATTCTATTCAACATATGTGGTGCGGTCATAGTGTTACAAATTCTACGACTCATTTGTAAATAAAAACTACAATTAAAATTTTATCCTTTAAATTTATATAAAATTTTAAATTAATTTTTTAATTATATAAAGTATCTTTTTAATTTTCAAATCCTAACAATGTTAATTTTAAATTATTATTTTCTGTGCCAATCATCATTATTTAAAAATATTGAACTTAATATGTTAATATTTAATAATAATTTATTAACATTTAAAAATTTAATGTATAAATTTTTTGTGATGAAATTAATGGTGTTAAAATAAAATGACTAAAAAAACACCATATAAAATTAAGATACTAAAATAAAATTTTATGTAAAGTTAAAGTGTTAAGCTAAGGTAAAAAGAATATTTTTAATTTACTTCACTATATTTTTTTTATTTGATGGATGATGGATCATTTGCCATTTTCCAAGTTAAGTATCACGGAACCAGTGAAAATATTAATTCCAGGTTTATTGGTTCGAATGATAGATGAATCAGTATAATTTTATTAATTAATTATATAGCGTCATTTTATATACGAAATTTAAAAAATAATTTTATATATTTCATTACTGATTATACATGAAAACAAAGCCAACCATAGCATTATATATATTTATATTCAACAGATTTGTTAATTTAAAATTTGAGTTCAAACACCACACTCACCATCATCCATAGCTGTCCATATCAAGGGATGCCATAGTTGTACAAAATTTAGTTATTTTAATTAAAAAGAGGGTATAAATGTTAATTTTATTAGTTAAATACTTGCTTATAAGAGTACAAGGCGTCCTGTTGTAGGAGTGTAAGTTTGAAATTCGGTCTAAGCCTCCCAAGTTCTGCACGCCTATGCACGCGGTGTACATATGTTTTATTTAAATAATGTTTACATCACATTATATTATTGTGCTCTATTATTAACAACTAATTTTTTTGAATAAATCATTTATCCAAAAAATCACATAAATAACTTTCTTAGTAGCTCTACAAAAAATATGATCTGGTAACTTTTAAAATGATAGTAATTTGACTAAATTTATACAATCCATCCTAAGAATCTATATCAATTCGACCAAGTCCTTCCTTTTTTCCAAAAAAAGATCTTGACTCTATATAAAAAGTATGGAGGGGAAATATCAAGAGTGATTAAGAGTTTTATCAAATGGTTTGTCCGGTAATAACTCGGTAAGCTTTTTTGTTAGCAAGAAGATTCCTGTGCCAAATCAAGGGACAAGCCATCTCATCATTTTTTTTTTTTTTTATATTCTAGGCCAAGCTATCTTATAATGTTTTACCTCTCAAATTGTAAATTGCTTGATAAATATATTTAACTAATGAGAAACATGTTAGATTTTAGAAGATTCCGACGAAGGATTGTATGAAAACTGAAAAGTGTTACGTTATATCGATGGCCAAAGTTGAAGTATTTCCGATACATGCGTTTGCTAAAAGCAATTATGTAAGCCGCCAAAACCTGCAGTTAACATAATGTTCCAATATTCTGGCAATGAACTGACTTTATTATTTCCCTCAGAAACTGCATCAAGCTGAACTCAGAATTCATTATTTCCAAACTTGCACCGTTAAACCACAAAAGGATAACAAAAAAGGCATATACAAGGATACCATTGAAAAAAAAAAAATTATCACACACCGCCAGCTCAACAAATCAAACACTACAAAATCTAAAACCGGAAACCTTAGTCCCTCACAGGGTAACTGAAGCACACACTGAAAACAAAAACAAAAAATTACTCTGTGACTGTAAACAACTAAAAGGAAACAAGCCTTGAAGCTTTGCTGGAAGCAATTGCTACTGGTTTTCTGTTTACTTGCAACGCAAGGTAGCTTATTTGATGGTCCTCGCCCGGATTATTCTTCAGATATTAGTATAGTCAAATATAGCAAAGATCAACACTGTCAGCTGCCCCAAAGAAGATTATCAGTCACCAGCAACATCACCTATTATATCTCCATTTCCCCATATGCATGATAACTTTCCTCTCACCTCGGTCAGATTTAACAGGGTCGTATAAACAAATGCAAGTCAGTTGGTTTTTACACGTTGATGCTGCTCTCCTTGTCCTTCGCTTCATATAGAGTCTCAAAACATGTACTTTCTAGGTTTTTTCTTAGACAGCTCAGTATTGTGTCTTCCATCAGTTCTGCAAGAATGGCTTCACTCATCTCAAAGCCAACTTGCTCAGCATCAAATCGAAGGTCCATCCATGCTCCACTTCTTGCCATGTCTTTCCTAACAATTTGGTCCAAAGTATGTGGAGGGGATAAAGGAAGTAAATGCCAGCACACTCCTTCCCAGACTTTAAGAGTAACACTTTTCATATACGGGGCCGGTCTTATGTTGCTAGGTCTTACAAATGATACACAAGGCGAGACACCAAAGTAATACTGGCAAACCTCCATTAGAACTTCATTGACACAATCGAAGAGGAGTTTCTGGTCATGGCATGGCTGGTTTGAGAAAACCTCTATCTGATCAGACAACGATGGATCTAATATCTGGTCCGAGGAAACACATCTCATCCACAACTGATCTCTACTGAAGCCAGAGGCATGCAGGATTGCTTTAATATAGTCAAATATCAACTTGTTTTCTTCAACACACTGCTTTTGTCTATCTATTTGATCCAACTGTAAAGAGTCATGTTCTTCAAATTGAATTTGTATTGGCTGTAGTTGGATTTTACCTGAATATCATGAACGAATATCATGTCACCTTAAATTAAAATCAGCATGATTAATAAAAGGGTGTTTCCTGCCATGAATGTTTTAAGATGAATGGTAAGATTTTCAAAATCAGTTTTCAACCTTTTCCAGATGCAGGGAAAAGAAAAGGACAAGAATATGCGAGAAAAAAAATCTCGACACCATTCTGGATTTGTTTGAAATAACGTGGGACTTAAAGAACCCTAGTAACCAGCATGCCGTTTTCAACATCTACTCAGAGAGTTAGATTGTTGGAATTACTTTGATTCCAGGTTCTAATTTATAGAAAAACAGCTTAAAGAAAATTTTTCTAAGGATCCATCATGGTTCTGATGCTTGATAACCTACCAAGTCGAAACCTGGTGCTTTCAGGGCTGATGTCATCCTCAGGGAATACTGTATCGAGAACAGATACAGGACTGGGCCGCCCAACTATTTCCGCACCACTTTCTAGCTCTTCATTTTTTTTAGTAGTAGAAGAGTGAGTAGGAGATGACAGCGGAGATGGTGGTTGGTTCTCTACTGATACATCCTGTGAAAGAGCAAACGATATTTTAATATTCAATCTTACATCTGCCAGGGCATCATTTCAACAAAAAGGCTAAGCTGTAAAATTATAGAAGGGCTCCTAAGAAATGCTTGGAGTCCTTTATTACTTAGTTTTACCAAATTTCCAACGTAGTGATCAATTAACCCTGAAAATCAATGATCTAGATGAAAATTCAACCAATCACGAGCATTTTTAATCAAGATGACAGGGTGAACAACACAATACTGATTAGATATCATATGGAACATCAAGAGACGTAACCTGATTCAAGCATTGAGAATGTCCTGCATCATCTGAGAGTTCAGTAGAGATCTCACAAATTTGGGCGTTTTCCACATCCAAATCCACTGGTTCAGAGGAAGATTCCAAAACATTTATTTCTTTACGAGATTCTACATTACCTGCCCAAAAACATTATTAAAGGCTAAACATTGAAGGAAAAAAAAAATATATGTTCCAAACTACCGAAGTGTATTGTAACATCTATCACTGCAACCATATAGTTTGAGCATAATACCTTCTTGAACCATCTCATCTCCATTAGGACAACAGGTTGCATCTGCTTTAGCATCATGAATAAGGTCATCTGTGGAAGTCAGCTCTAATTTATTGTCTTGTACTTTAATATCAAAGGAATCATCACAGACGCTAGGCTGCTTCTTTGGACTGCTTGTTTCCTTCTCCAAATGATCCATAATGGGGGATTGCCGGGAAGACAACAATCTTGTCCGTGCAGTCATAAATTGATGCTCCCAGTCACGTCCAGGACTACCAAGGGGAGACAAATTGTACTCAGGAAGAGATAGAATTCTACCAAGGTTTTTGGAAACCTTCCTACCTGAAAAGTCCATGTTCTCATCTTCATTGCCTAGCATTTCACAGAGATGTTTCTTAGCCTCAACGTATATGTTAGAAACCCTTTGTTTGGGATAATTACCATTTTCATGTTCCAATACCACTTCCAAGTCTCTCAATGTGCCATTCTTGTCTCCTTTCTTCTCAACAAAGGCCGGCCTTGCCATTTTTTCAATGAAAAAATGGTCTTTATTAGGAGATTTCATTCCAGAATTGTCTTTCCCAATGGTTTTGCTGCCTTTCCCCTTATTTTGAGATTCAGCAGCAGTTTTTTTCGAAATCTTCTCAGGGTTTCCATCTCTCTCCTTTCCCATGGCATGTTTTAACTTCTTTTTTATCTCTGTAAGAGAAAAATGTGAACCAACTCTCACAGAAGAACTTTCATAAGAATCTAAGGGTGGTAAAAGCTTGGTTCCAGCTTGGGAATCCTGAAAGCCCATTGGTCCAGGTTTCAGAAAAACAATCCTATTCGAGGACTCAGCATTCACATTTCCACTTGTTTGATCTTTAACTCGAGACTTCACCATTTTCCTGAAGAAGTTACGCTGCCTGTGGTTGACAATCTGTCTACTCTGTTTCAAACTATCTGGGTCATGTTCAGAAAAGTTGGAGGCAGTGACTGAACAGTGTTCTTTATCATCTGACACCTGAGTATCGATCAACTGTTGAACATATTTTAACAAAAGTGAATTTGGATCTCGTAGAAGCCTCAAAAACAATTCCTTATCTGAACTTAAAATTTGAAGTGCATCCATAAATTCATGGGAGCAAAGGAATTTTCTAGCTTTTGCAAGATCTTTTCCATCCAATGTCATCTGATTCAGAAATTCAAGGATTGCACACCTCGCTTCATTTTCAGCTATAACACGCTTCTGGTTTGATTGTTCAGTTACTTCACCACCACCAAGGTCATGCACTACAGAGAAAGCACTTTTCATATTACTAAAATCCTCCAATACCTTTTCTAAGTCAAGATTACTTTTAGACTGTTGCCTTGAATGCTGACTAGGTGAGAGTTCTGATTTCAAGGTTTTATCTGAATTTAAATCATGGGTGTCCGGATCATAGCTTTTCTTACGAGATTTCTTTTTTCTTCCAGGATCTATCTTCAAGGTGTCTTCATAGCATAATCTAGACTCTCTTGATTTTACTTCTGCATTAACTGCATCCTTGTCAATGAACATGTCTTCTTCCATGAGTTTTTTTACACTAGGCTTACCAGCCTCACAATGTTCATCCAAATTGGTGAACATGTCGAACTTATTTTTTGAATGTACAGAACCTGTAGAAAAAAAATGAAATTCAAATTACTTATGGAGTTCAATTCCGCATGACATCAAACCTCTCTCTCTCTCTCTCTCTCTCTCTCTCTCTCTCTCACACACACATTCTTAAAAGCAGAACATATTTAAGTGAAAAATTTCTGCCCAGAATTGCTTTAGAAAAATTGTTCAAATTGCAGAGATCAGTCATGGTGCAATCACTTTTGAAACTGAATGTTGCTCTAGGAAAAATGGGCAATATAGCGCGAAGTTCCCAGCAAATAATACTTCATAGTTTCTTCAGCAGTTCAACAGAAAAAAAAAATACATGTTATGTATGTAGCATACAAACACTCTTGGTTAGGATATAGATCTGTGTGGACAAGCGAACTTGTCAACTTGGAAACACCAATCTAAACATTAAACACAGTCCATACCAAAAAAAAATATATATATATATATTAAAATCACAGTTCTTACCAAAAGCGTTCTTGTTGACACGCCTCTTATCAGCAATTAACTTCTGAGCAGCACGGCCATGGCGAAAATCAAACATACTAATAAAGCCCCACATACAGCCTGAATGATCTTTCTCATACCTCACAGAGCGTCTTTGTGACTTCTTTGCCATGATGATTAGGTACTCTTGACTAGCTTCGTTTCCTCTTTTCCTCTTCCCTAAGGGCTTGTACGTAGTTTTGCCCTTAGTTTGCAAATGATCTTCCAAAACAGATCACCAGTATGGTATGGCACAACCTGGTTTGATGAACAAAATAATGAAGTAAATAAATGCAGGTGGGGATAATAAAATCATGAATCAACACTCCTTCTAATGCCCCAAAAGTCCAAAACTATAGCTCATGAACAGCAATTCTAACATTGGGGACCAGGTGAAGAAAAAAATGCCAGCGTAGTGAAAAAATATCTGTATGGTAACAAATTTGGTAATCAACTCATGCGGAGAAATTGGCCACATGCGGACAAGATTTGAACTAGCTCAGGCAGCTGATCTTCTCAATCATTCATCAACTCCTCAGAAATTTGGGTTTTTAAGGGAAAGTGGTAAAAGAGTGAACCAGACTAAGTGGTTACCTCTCAATCAGAGGACAGAAGAATCATCAGAAAAATAAAACTTCTGAAATGATAAGTACAAATCAGAGATTTTTCTCCCTCCTGATTTTGACTCAAACATGGTGAAGTAAGTAGTAAAAGAAGAAGATGCATCTTGAAGAGTTAGTCCGCTTACAAAGCATCATGGAATTCTAATTTCAGTCCCTCAAGTTTCCCAGTTGAGTGAAGCACACGATGTTGTAGCTTCGTTCGGAGGAGAAGGTATCAAAACCTTCTTTCATGCACATGTTTTACCCTCTTGTTTAAGTTCGTCAATTCTCCGGGAAAGCTGAAAATTCCGGATGAACTTCAAAGAAAAGATCTATCAAAACCACTATATTGTCTTGGAGGCTTCAGCTTTTTTGATTGACAATGAGTTACAGATTCACGGCTCAGAAATTCTTCTCCCTCTTGATTTAAAACATCAAAAGTCTGATAATTACAGCGAAAGTTTGATACTCCAAAAAAGCTTGGCCTAACATGTTAAATCCAAATCCCATCACGAATTCTGACCAACTGAATCAGTTCAATCACTGAAGAAGCATAGAGCATCCAAATTCCAGTGACTAGCAATGCATCAGATGTAACTTTGTGATTATGTTCAAAAAGTAATCCCAGAATGTATCATTCAATTCTTTGCCAATGCCATTTCACCGAGATATACAATACTCCCCAATCTAGCACCGAACAGGCCATCAGGAAACTGCCATGTGAAGTGCCCGAATGACTATCGCTTGTTTGGATAATGTTGGTAAGAAACTGGCTGCCAATTTTACCAGAAAAACGAGACTTTTTGGCAATGGGTATCTTTTTCACAACCGAAAGAAGAAGAAAAGGGTTGCCTCGCACCGACCCAAGTTGTTTTCTAATGCGGAATTTCTGATACGGGCAGCCATTGAAGACTCAGAAAAGTGGAAGGAGCAGAGAAAGAAAGGAGAGAGAATGGGTGGAGGGAGGGAGGGAGGGAGAGTTTTACTATGCCGAAGTGCCGAACGCTCAGGAACTAGTGGGGCTCACTGTGGCTGAACAATTCCAGTTAAATAAAACTTAATTAAATTGTCCGATCAATTTGATGAAAATCATAAAATATTGATTCAATCTGATCGAATATTTAGACGTTCAGTTCAAGCGGATCAACTAACTCGTAATTTTATTTATTGAAAAGTTCAACTTCAATATCAGTCATGCTTCATGACTTTTTTTCCCCTTACGCTAGCTCGAATCTTGTCGTGTTTGTAGGTGAGTTTAATTTAAAATCATGTTAAAAATAAATTAGTTTATATTGAAGAAATATTTAATCTTAGATTTTCTGAGAGATTTCATTGACTAGTTTAGATTGAATCAATATTTAAGTTATATTTTGCGAGAGATTTGATTGATTTAATTTTGAGTAATATTTGAATTGATATATTTAATTTAAATTTTTACATTTGAAATCTTGTGTTTTATATTTCATATTTAAAATTCATACATTTAAATTTTTTCATTTGGGTGGTTTAAAAAATTTTAAATGAAAAAAAATAAATTAATATTCAAAATAAAAATAAAAAATAAAAAATGATGAATTCATTTACATTTTTTTAATTAACAATAGATAAGAAAAGATGCAAATCATGTAAATATTTAATTTGAAACGCGAAGACAACAAAATGTTGGAAGTGATTAAACTTTTAAATAAATATAGTGTAAAAGAAATTTATGGGATTTAAATAAGAGATTTGATTTAAATTCAAATTCTTACATCCAAACATAGCATTAACAAATTTGAGTTTTGCTTTTGAAATTATAGATAATTAATTGAGAGAAATATATGAACCCACTTCATAAAAATTTTTCTATTCATATCAATGAAGGTTGGATCTTGCCAAAAGGATTAATCAATTACAACACAATAAATTAATATTTAAATTTTTATTACCAAATGTGTTAATATTTAATATCCGACCATATCATAAAAAGGATTACTTTCAATAAAAAAAATATTTGTGAGGAATAAAAGAAATTGTCTATTCATCAATATATAATATTGGGAAATAAAGAATGAATACATGTAAATAATGATAAAATATAAATATCACACGTATGGCATAACTATTATTTTATTATATTTAATTTACTTTTGTAGCTGGCTTTCCCTCGCTAAAGTGTTGCCCAAAAAAAAGGTAAGAGAATGGGAGAGGATTAAGGTGGACGCCACTGCAAACAAAAGCCATGCTTCTTAAAAAAAAAACAAAAAACAAAAACAAAAACAAAAAAGTACAGAAATATTGTTCTTTTTAAGTTTGAGATAAAGCAATTATCAAGACAACACAATGGAAAACTCAAAACTTGCATTCTCCTAAACTTGTCCATCAATTTTTTCTTTTTACTATCGGGTCCTTCTTGTTTGATAGTCAATTTTAGAATTATTTAAATTTTTTGAAGTCATGTATAAAAAATAACTTTAAAATAATTGTAAATTGACATTATATTTTACTTTCATTTAATAATATATTTTGAAAATTATATAAATAATATGATGGAATAATAAGTTTATTATATAAAAATATTTTTTCTTAAAATAACAAGGCTATTGTCATCGATGGGAAATTAATCAGATCCTCCTTTTTTTCTTCTCTACATTTTTTGTCTCTCTTAATTTATCTTGTTTCGTTCGAAAATTAGTATAAATTCTCAAAAAGTTGGAAGCCGGCTTACCAATAAATTTTTGAATCATGCAACTTCTTGTTGTCTGCCACAGTTATTCTAAATTTAGTGCAGTAATGTATTGCAGTTAATTTTTTTGGTTACATGTTTCATACGCACATTTATTTATTCTAAACCACGTTGAACCATCACTTCCGGTAAGTTGGCGTATAATTTATTAGTCCGAACGTTCAATTAAATTCACATAGGCTCCTGTAAATATATTAAGTTCATGTAGGGTACGTTCTAAAGTTGAACAAATTAAATAAGGAATTTAGTCCCTCCTGATGAATTTGTTGATTGAAAAAAAAGTTACACAAGAACGCAATCACACCATGGGTGTCAAAAGTCGATAAAATTTTCTAAATTAAGAAAATTGATTTACCCAAATGACATCTTAAGAGTGTATTCTTCTAATTTTTTTTATAAATTATTTCTATCAATCTCATTAATATCAATATAAAAAATAAAAAAATAAAAGTATATAAAATTTTAAATATATTTTTATATGATAAATTTTAAAAGTGATATGTTATATTATTTTTTTTATAAAGGATAATTTTAAAAATATTTTTAAAATACTATATAAAAACATCACACCATAATTTATAAATAAAATTTAATAAATTTTTTAAATCTTTTAAAATATACCTTATAATTGCAATCGGAGCGAAAAATGGGGAGGACTCTTTATCGGGAGGACCGGAATTGTTTTCCACTCTTCACGCCATCACTAATTTGCCTTTCTGGAGGAGACAACTTGAAAAGCAAGCCATTCACTTTTCTTTTCTCCCAACCTGTAAAAGTTATGTTATGTACCATTTTTATCTTCTAATGTTAATCATTTGGACTGTTGCATTTATTTTCCTTTGTTACTCATTCTCTTTTTATCTCGCTCTTCTATGAGTGATATTTTGCTATTTGATCATTCCAGAGAACTAAATATTCAATCTTTCCAAATAAATATAAACTATTTAGATTTAATTTAGACAAGTTAAATCTCACTTTTTTTGTTTTCCATTTTAAATAACTTTTATGTCATAATTAATAATGGAAAATAGCGTTGAAATTAAATTAGCCCAAACAAATCAAATTAAAGTAGTCAATTTTCAACTGCAAAGAGTTACTGTATCTTCATCTGTAAAAGCAAGTTATTGTTTTCAATATTCTAATTTGAAAGTTCTGGGGAAAAAATAATAATCTAATTTGAAAGTTAGAAAAGTCAGTATTTTTATTTCTTCCATTATGATGTCTCATAACTTTTTCTGCTTTATGAAAATATGTGATTAATGATGTTTACGTGTCTAATCTTTTTGGTCACATAATGTTAATTGTTCACAAGTTGAAAGTAAATACACGAGATCCAATGTCAATTACGATTTCTCAAAAAGAAAAAGAAAAAAAGATTTACTTGATAGTTGATATTTCAATAATGAAAGGAAAATTAAGTTTCTTTAGTTAATTGAAAAAATTAATTAAAAAAGACAATATGCCTATCTCTAATGCGAAATGTAAATGTAGGTGCTTTACATCTTTAAGTTTCCTCCGACTTTCATTTTCAAAAGTGTTGTAAATCATGTTCTTCTCAATTCTTTGATACAGTTTGGTCTTGCTTCTTCTCCTCTACCTTGTGTTTTTTTTAAAAAAAAAAATATTTGCTTTAGCTTCACCTTACTATTTCGACATTGGCAACAGTTGATGTTGTGCATTTAGTGTTGTTATCTCCTTTTACGTTTTTTTTTTTTTTTTGGTTGTTGACGATATTGTTTGCTTGCATAAAGTTAAAGCATGATGAGGTATCCATGATAGATCTAGAAACTTATCCAGATGATGAAAGCCTCCGTGAAAGTTGGGGGCCAAAATTTAATATTCCCAACTAATTTGGTATGTGGTTATATTTTCAATAAATTAAATATCAACTATGTACAATTTTTAGAGTATCAAACATATGTCATTCAACTATAAGTCAGGTTTTTTCAGGCGGTTTAGCCTAAGCATATTTACTTCACAAGTCTTAATGGTATTCACCAATAATATTATGGATTAGTGTCAAGTTTTTATGTAGATTTCATAAATTAATAAGCTGTTAAGCACTGCACACAGAGTAGTAGAACTTGTTTATAAACATGTACTTGTTTACCATAAAAATATCTTCTCCGCTATGATGATAATGATGACATGGGTTTGAATTGTGAGATCCGCCTCTGGTGAAAAATACTGCTTAATAATGAGATAATATCAAAATGTTTGAACGCCGTTGAATTATGAATACAGGCGACTGGTAAGTAATGTAATGTATGATTTTTTTTTAATAAAATAAAGGTGCCTACTTTAGTTGCTACTGCCACCAGGATTTGTTGCACCTACTATGTGTTTAATATAGTTTAGAAGAATTTTGTTTTTTGTTTTTTGTTTTTGTTTTGAAAAAAGAGAGCTTATAGAAGAACATAGTTAAAGAAATCCCCAGTGGCTGCTACTTTCGTCAAACAAAGTAGGTCGGCCAATTTATTCGTCAAGCCAAGGGGTAAAAGGAAACAATTAATGGCGCAGGGAAATTCTCAAATACACTTACGGATGTTGTCTAATGATGGACAAGTAAATACATTTTTATAACTTTTCACAATTTAAGAATATCCAAAACACTCACATATGTGTCAAAAGTTATAACTAATACTCGAAACACGCTCAATGAACTTATAATTACCTATATAATACATCACATGCATATAATCTCAATGATATTAAGTTTTTGCTCCACAACCCATTTAATACCAAAAATAGAAGGAGAAAGTTTTAGTATTGCATAAATCATGAGATTTTAAATTTAACAACATAACAATATTCTATACACTTATACTAATATTTTAGCCCTATTAAAACTTAATTAACTCACATATAACATTCCAAGATCCAAAATACATCCCTAGATTATAAATAACAATATAGTGCAAGTGTAAAATAAAACGCACCCTGATTGACAATATGCTATTTATTACACAAAATAAATGAAGATAAGAGGCTTTGTAGTAGGAATCCTATATTCATAAGCCTCTAGAGCTTTTTTTTTATTTTCACAAGGAGCTAGAGCTTGTAAAATATTAAAAGAGAGAGATAAGTATGACTACTTAATAACCAATATACGTTTATCATATGCAGTTGCATATCAATTGATAAAAATACATCAATAGGAGTGAAATACTTGATTTCATAAAATCACATATAGCATATACATATATTACAATACACCATTAACTTT